GGGCAAGCTCCCTCCACCACTCGCTCCGTCACCCTCCCCACCGTGTTTCCATGTAGCACCAATATTAAATCCCTAAATCGGAAACTGATTTCATCCTGTACTTTAAATTTTAACATATATCCACATTAAAAAAAAAAAGAAAAAGAAAAAGAAAAAAACACAAATACAAACAACAATTAACGATTCTCTCTCATCTCCTTCTCTCTTGCCCTTTACCCATAGCATGGGTTCCTTTCCTTCTTCACCTCACTTTCACAATCCTACCCAATATTACAGAGGCAATCAACGATAAAAGATGATGGGAAAGATCAGAGGCGGGGTCAAGTTCTCTGAATTTTTTTTCTCTTAAAGAAATCTTTTATTTTTGGCATGAAAATCAGAGACAAATTCTGGATTTTCCCTTCTCCTCCACGAATTTCACCCTCTTTTTTCAACTCATAAAACACCTTCTGAGATGAAGAGAAAAAGATGGAATCCCTAAACCCTAACATCTTTTAAATTGCTAGCTTTCTCATCTTTTTAATTTCCTGATTCTACACCAAGACACCTTGAATTGAAACCGAATTTACCTTTAATTTTCCCCAAATTCCTTGGATTTTTGCAGAATTTCGCCTTCCAGCCACAATTGAGTCCTCAATCAATCATTTCCCTTCAACCATGTCTTTCTTCCATAGAGTTTTGTCATCTTTCAATGCATACATATGTTTTTCTGATGCATGAAATAGAGAAGGACTAAAGAAAGTTGGAATCCGTTCTTGGTCTCAAAGGAAGAGATGGGGACTGGAGGAGGGGATCAGATTCGATTTTAGGGTGTTCTTTTGAAAAAACCCCTTAAATCCATTTTAAAATTAGGAAGGGAAAAAGTTCGTAAGAAGCCACCGGATGAAAACCAGTTTCTGCTGTAGGGATCTGATACTGGTGCTACGTGGCAGCACGGTGGGGAGAGTGACGGAGCGAGTGGCGAAGGGCGACTGTTCTTAGTGTTGCTCTTCTCGAGCGCCACATCATCAGTTAATGCCACGTCATATCTTACGCGACTATTTTGTTAGAGTTATGAGTTGAATAACCAAAATGTTGATTTTGATAAAGTTGGATGACTACCTAATGAGATTCACCGGTTAATGAACCAGGAACATTTCTGGGAAAATCTAGTTTATATATAATGGAATAAGAAAGTTTTAAATCTAAAACGAGGGAAAAAATAAAAATAAAAAAAAAAAAACAATTCTAAAATTCGTTGTCATAAAGGTTCGAAGTCTTATCATCAATCTTAATAATAAGATTTTTAATATTTTAAAATCATAAATTCTCTAAAATGTTTGGAGTAAATTGTTATCTTTACCAAAATTGAAAAAGATGTAATTTTTCCTACTTAACATGCATGTTGTACATAATCCTGGTTTCAACTAATTAGAATTTAGTGTTTCTTTAAAAAATTACATCCTCTTTAATTTTAATGTAAATGACAATTTGGTCCAAACTTCAACTATTTTAAAACATTTATGATTCTATAATATTAAAAATCTTACCATTAAGATTGATAATAAGAATTTAAATTCCTATAACAACAAAGCAATAGTAATAATTTAGTTGATAGAAAAATCATCTTCCAAAAGATGAAGTTTACATTCACCTACTTTTCCTTAAATATCAACAATTAAATCTTAATAATTATTATTTTTCAAATGGAGCGGTAAGGCAGCTCCTCAATTTCTCGAACTATCAACACAAAGTAGGCCTTAAATGGCAATCGGTCATGTGGCACGAATAAACAGTAAATCTTTGTTTTTCTTATTCGCACATCTGATGAGGTTTTTCTTTTTTTAACAAGATTAAATGTGGAGAGTTTTAGAAAAGGAAAGGATTTAAACTCAAGTACAATAAAAAAATCTCATGTGAGAAGCAACTATTTATTCCGCTTAAGGTTTCTCCTCACATTTAATGAGTTTAAAAGTGAATTTAACTTGAGTTTTGAATCTTTAATTTTATTAAAAATGAATTATAAAAGTTAAAAAATGCTTTTTCAAGCATATACTTTAAAATTATTATATTGTGAGTTTTATTTTTTTTGACAGTTTATATCATC